AGTCTGTCCATTTGGCTGGAATTTGGGGCTGGTGTGATTGGCAGTTGATAAGCCTGGCTTGAATGCCAGTCCCTCTGTGCCAGGACAAAGGCTATGGAGTCAGACAGACCTGTTCTGCCACTTTGTGATGAGTGACCTTGGGCAAGTGGCAGGAGGCTTAACCTCTCTGCAAACTGGAGAGAGCAATGCCACTTAGCTTTTGAGGTCACTGGGTGATGGCAGGGATTAATATATGTAAAAGCATCTGACACAGTGTCTTGGACACATTCATGGCCATTGAGTAGGTCGGACTCATAGTGACTCTCCAGTGCCTTTCCAAATATTTACAAGAGGAGACTGCCCATCTTCCTTCCTTGAAGAAGCTAGTGGATTTGAACGTGTGACCTTTCTTTTTAGTAGCTCAACCCATAACACACTACACCACTGGGGAACAAATGTTCAAAAATAGCTTAAAAAGATTGAGAAATTGTGGTACACATAAGGGAATACAATGTGGCACTAAGGAGCAATGATTTTGTAAATATTGTAGCATCAAAGAGCTGGATAATGACTAAGGAAGATAGAAGAATCAGTGCCTTTAAGTTGTAGTGCTGGAGAAGAGTCTTGGACAAACCATGGAACACGAAAAGAACAAACAGGTCTGTCTTGGAGTGGGTGAAACTAAGCTACTCCTTGGAGGCAAGGATTCTGAAGCTCTGCCTCACATACTTTAGGCACATGGCCAGGAGGGACTGGTTCTTGGAGAAGGACATCATGCTCGGAAGAGTGGACGGACAGCGCAGGAGAAGATGACCCTGGATGAAATGGATTGACACAGTAACTGAGTTAATGAGGGTAGGTGTGTCAGAGATACTGAAACTGGCTCAGTATAGAGCACAGTTCAGAGTGATTGTACATAGGGCCGCTATGACTCGCAGGCAACCTGATGGCACATAACACCACAAATAACATGGGAGAGTCTACAGAGCATTATGCTGAGTGCACTCAGTCTCATAAAGACAAATACTGTATAAGACCATTATTGTAAAACTAGAAGGATAACTAGTAAGATGTGTATAAAAGTCAAAAGTAGAAGGTGAGGAGGGCAGGGGAGAAGAATGTGGGGAGGAGAGAAAATCATTAGGATAATAGAATGAAGCATAAATTAGAAGAGGTACAATGGGGACCTGAAAAGACTGGGTGATAGTGGGCATAGATCAATGGATTCATTTTATAATACACAATGAACATGAGTGATCATTTGAAACACAATGTGAATACAGGAATGTGTGAAATACATTGTACATGAATTTTGTATGCAAACCAATATAAAATAAAGTGGGAGTGGGTGGAAATGGCTTACAAATACTTAGGGAGTCATGAAAGGCAGGCTCAGGATATTCTGAGCCGGCCCCAAATATTTGAGGATCAAAGAGCAGTGGCATCACTAGGGTTGGTGTTACCCAGTGTGGTAACTTATGGGCTCACCCTACCCCTGTGCCAGACCATACAGAATCCTCACCCAAACCCACTGCTGTGGGGTCCATTTTGACCGGTGACAGACATCTCTCCATCAGGTCTGCAAGGCTTGAAATCTTTGCATGGGAGACTGCCCATGGTGGATTCAAACCACTGACCTTTAAGTTACCACCCCATCTTGTAAAGCTCCTTATAGTACTATTTATTTATGGACTTTAATAATAAATTCACTCATTGCTGATGACTCAGAAACGACTCATAGTTGATCCTCCAGCGAGTTTCTGAAGTTGTAAATCACAAGGGAGGAAACTATCCACCTTTCTCTAACAGCCACTGGCGAATTAAAACTAGCAGAAAGGTAGTTTTATGGATCTGCCTATAGACTAAGCCACCAGAGCTCCCTGAAAGGAGTTTGTACTGTCAACCTCAAAGGCAGAAGCTTTGGGTTCACCAGCTGCTCCAAGGCAATCTCCTCCCGCATGATTTATTGCCTCTGAAAATCTGCTGGAGGGTCAGCTAGAAGTTTGTTCTGAGTTAATGGCAATGAGTTTTGAGTTCAGTATGTCTTAGCTTGCATGAATTGTAACAAACAAATTGCTCTGTATTATCTTTCCACAGTGAATTATATTATTAGTTACACTATGCTAATAGTATATACTGAGGGGAAAAACTTTTTTTAAAAAAAGAAATTTCACCTTTTCCTTTCATTATTACTTTATTCTCAAAAAGAAATTATTGCTGAAAGTTCAAAAAATGCTACTTATCACACTGTTACTGTTATTGTTCACACTGTAACTGTTATTGTTGTGAAGTCATCTACAACTCAGTGACTCCATGAACAACAGATCTGAATCTTATCATGCACCATCTCACAATACGCTCAAGCTGCTGTTACAGTCACTACCATGTATGCCAATACCTCTTGTTGAGGGTCTTCCTCTTTTCATCGACTCTCTCTTTCCCAACCGAGTGTCCTTCCCAAGGACTAGCCCCTCCTAACAACATATCCAAAGTACATGTAGCTTCCTTGCCTCTAAGGAGCACCCTATTTGCTTCTTATAAGATAGACTTGTTACTCCTTTTGACAGTCCATATGCTTTAAAACTTTTTTTTCTCCTTTTCTTGTTGTGTACCATCAAATCGGATCCAACTGGCACAGGAGGGGATTGCCCCTCCTTCTCCATGAGAGCATCTGATTCAAACCGTGTGCCTTTGGGATTGCAGCACAGCTTCTTGCCACTAGGCCACCAGAGCTCCCTGACAGTCCATATCCTTATAAAGATATGACAGTGTCATATCTTTTTACAGGGGTATTCAGTACTCCTCTCTTACAACTCAAAGGCAATGATTGTTTACTATTCGAGCTCAAACACTAGAAAATTGTACAAAATCAATGACTATAAAACCAGCAGCATCAGCAAGAAAAACAGTATATACTTGAAGCTAGAGTGGGGGGGGGAATGTGATTCAAAGCTCCACTATGATTGGGTAATAGTGACAACTCCAATTGAAGAGAATGAGAAGGTTCAAAAAGTAATTAGCATAGAGGCTGAGCCTTATACATAGATACATGCTCCGCTGTCAACACCCTTGGTACCAGCAGTCAGTAAATCAGGAGACATAGCATTGGGAAAGTCTGCTGTCTAGGATCTTTCCAAAGTCCTGAAGAGCAATGATGTCAGTTTAAAGACTAAGGTGCACCTGATTCAAGCCACAGTTTTTCCAATTACCTGCTATGTATCTGACAGCTGGACAATGAATAAGGACAGAAGAAGAACTGATTCCTTTGAGCAGTAGTGTGAGATAAGAATACTGAACTACCAAAAGAACAAGCAGATATATCTTGGTGCAGCTGGAGAGCTCATTGGAGGTAATGATGGTAATGCTTCATCTCACATACTTTGGGCATGTTAGGAGTGGCTGTTCCTTGAAGAGGAACATCATGCTTGAAAAGGTGGTCAGTAAAGAGAGGAAAATCCCCAATGAGATGGACTGATAGTGTCTGCTGCAATGGGCTTGAACGTGTTAGAGATGATGAAGATGGCACAGGAAAGGACAAGGTTTAGCTCTGTTGCCTAGAAAGTGGCTATAAGGTGTACTCTACTCAACAGCACCTAACATCGGTGTTGATACGGTTACATATAAAATGAATTTAGGGAAAATATTTGTTTGGAGGTGTTGTTTTGGTTTGTTTTTTTTTAGGGAAAATGGTTTTTGTTGTAACTAACTGTAGGGCTCTTTTGGTAAAAGGGGTAAATTTCTGCTCAAGGACTGCACACAAAAATCTTTTTTTAAAATTATCTTTTGGTGTTACAATTTGCTGTTACCTCCTCTGACAGTGTCACCCAGGGCAGTCCACACCCTCTCACCCCACCCCCACCCCAATGATCCACTGTCAGGGAAGAAATCTCCTATCATTGGCACCACTCTTGATTTAATGGAGTAAGCCTGAGCACTCATTCTCTCTAGTCTTGACTGTTTGAATAGTCTCTTGGCTTCTTGCTTCTGCCGGAATCCTGCTCCTAAAACTCCACCTTAATCATGGCTGTGTCCCTACGTGGCTCAAGAACCTTCAACGGCTCCCTATTGCTCATAGACTGAACTCTAACTTGGTGACGGTAGGTAGGGGTGGAGCAAGAATGACCTGAGGGAAGGGAAGAGCAAAGAGGTGGTGCAGATTGGGAGTAAAAAGATCAAATACCAGTCAGTGTCTTTTCAAAACGTAGAGGAAGTTCGTCCTAGGATCCAGCAGGTTGCACAGGGAGAAAGCAAGGTGGCGTCTCCAGAGACGGTTGGGCGTCCAGGTGGCTTTAGGCTCAGATTCACCTGTTCTCACCTGGAAAAGGTTTAAAAGGAGGAAGCAGCAAACGGAGAGGTGAGCAGAGGAATGCCCCTTCTTCTCCTAGGTACCTACAAGAACCAGGACCTGGACCCTGATCTCGGGTTTCTCTCCAGGAATCTCGAGCAGCTCCACTCTGGGGTCAGAGTCACATGAGGCAGCCGGTCCGCCTCCGTGAAAGTGAGGCGCGGGACAAAGGCGACTCCGGGACAAAGTGCAGGGAGACTCCTGAAGAGATAAGCGGGAAGGGCGAAGGAAGGGGGCGGGGAGCGGACGCCTTGGAGCTCCAGGCCTGGCGCTCGGCGCGCTCGCGGTAAGGAAGCCCGGCTCAGCCCGTCGAGGGTGAGTGGGCGCCCGGGCGCAGCGGGGATGCAAGAGCAGCGGGGGCTGGGGGCGGGGCCGCACGCTCACCTGGCCCGGGGAGAGGGACCAGGCGGGGCGGCCAGAGCCGGGGCTCCGGAGCCGGGTTTTGCCCCGGGGCCTGGGCCGGAGCGCTCAGCCTCCACGCCCCACCGGCCAGCTCGGGCCCTCCCTCGTCCAGGGCCTGCCTCCCTTGCCTCCCCTCCCTCCTTGCCTCCTTCCCTGCCTCTAAACCCAGTTGCTCAAGCAGCTTCCTTCCCGGGCGCTCGCACCAGTTCCTCTCCCCGTGCGGCCCGGGCAGGGAGGCGAGTGGCAGATCTGAACCGGCAGCCGTGGCACGAGTATGGCCGACCCCCAAGGGCCCGAGAGCTCCGCGCCCAAGGTCTCCCAGGCCACCCCGCTGAGCATCCGGGACGGCGCGCAGTCCTGCCTATGGAGAACGGCCACGGGGAGCCCGGGCAGGTCCCGGGTGGCCGCCTCCAGCTCCCGCGAGTCCTTCCACGGCTTAGGGATGCTGTCGGCGAGCCGGCGGGGCGCGCTGTGCGAGCAGCTGGGGCTGCGGGGGGAGGCTCCCGCCGGGCAGCAGGCGGCAGAGCGCACCGAGCAGCTCGCAGCGGCGGCGGGCGCGAACGCGAGCAGGCTGTGCATGGACGCCCGCGAGCACGCGTGGATGCTGGCGACCGCCGAGGGCCGCTTTGACGTGCTGCAGGAGCTGCTGGAGGCCGAGCCGACGCTGCTGCTGTGGAGCGACCCGATCACCGGCTACTCGGCGCTGCACTGGCTGGCCAAGCACGGGCGCCACGAAGAGCTCATCATGATGCACGACTTCGCCCGGCTCCACGGGCTTCCGCTCGACGTGAGCACGCCGGGCAGCGGCGGCCTCACGCCCCTCCACCTGGCCACGCAGCAGGGCCACGACATGGTCATCAAGGTACTAGTGGGCGCCCTGGGAGCCGACCCCATGCGTCGCGACTACAGCGGCCGCCGGCCCTACCACTACCTGGCGCCCGACGCGTCCTGGCAGCTGCGGGAGCTGTTGGGGGCTGAGGAGTGGGAAGTGGTGGGCGTCGACCAGCGAACCAACGCCAACAACAACAGCAGCGGAGGCGGGTGGAATCAGCGCCGGTCCCTGCATTCAGCAGCCAAGACGGCCAAGGACTCTGAGGGCTCCCGAGCGGTGCACATCCAGGGCCTTTTACGCCAACTGTTTCCCTTCTTCAGGACCGCTGAGGGCGGTGGGGACTGAAAAGCACATAGCGGCTCAAGTTGCTGGAAGGAAGCCTTGTGTTGGGGGAAGGGGGCTTTCCACACCCCCTCTTTCACGGTGCGGGGGGGCGCGCCGCCGTGAACAGTGAAGCTGTGACAGCTCAGCGCGAGGTCTGCAAGGAACTGACCAAATTGGAGCCAGTATCGGGTACCTGTCCCATGCCTTGAGGAGGACCTACGTCGGTGCCCCCCCCCACACTCCACCCCCCTAGAGAGCGCTGCTTGCCAGGCGGGCCTGGCGTGGGGTCCCAGAGTTGCTAGGATAAATGTGTTTGGAGCAGAGTGCGTGTTCCTGCCATGGGAGAAGAGGGGCCATTATGCTTTCAGCAGCAGTTGGAAGCTTATGTTTATTGGAAAACAATAGCTAGTAGAACGAGTTAAGACTGTAATGCACTGATGCGCGGAGGAAGTGCCTAATTGCAGGCGGACTTGACCATTGAGGAGACAACCAGACTTTACTGGTACCTTTTGCAGTATATCACGAATGACTTCTTACGTATATTAAACTGGAATATATTTTAATTGGCTGTTTTTTAATGAGTGTTGTGGTGGGATTTGTTTTCCCCCCACATGACAAAGATGTCCTTTGAGTGCCTTTCCCCCTCCCCTCCTCCTTCCTCAGAGGGTAAAGCTTCAGATTTTGCAAGAGAAAGGTCACCAGCCTGTGGCTAAGTGGCTGTGAGCCAGTGGTCCAAGGTGGAAGGTTCTGGACCTCCTTCTCCAAGCAGAAAAAGGAACACCATTCACCTGAGCTCTGAGTAGAGACAGGGACACGGTCCCTCTCAAAAGGTTTGACCTTTGTCGCAAGAATTATCCTAGAGAAATTGATGGGTATGGGGCCACAGGGGTGGCAATTGAAATTCACCTCAATGTATCCTCCAATGGTGCACGCCCACTGGCACTGTTTTCTTTAGTTTTACCCAACAGCACCGCCTTCCCCCCACCCCCCCAATTAAGTTTAATAAATAAGTTGTAGTTTAGAAAATTGCTCCAATTCAGAAGTAGCATAAATGGGAGAGTTGACTCAGAGGAAAGGAAGGAGAAGCAGTGGGTGGCTGCAGAGCAGGGCTGAACTGGAGAAAACGGTGGTGCATTTAATAAAGACTATCCATGGGGACCTGGTTAGTAGCCTTTAGTGGGGTCTGTTAATGGGTCCTTCGAGCCTCTCATCCCTTGAACATCAGGAAGAAACTGCATTGCCACTGGTCAGACACAACCTGGAGATGGCAACTCTGAGGCCCTCCATCCAGGTTCTTCTGGGGTCTTTTTGCTCCTCTGTGCTCAAATCCTTCCTATGTGTGAGATAATACAGTTAAATGCTTGGTTTATAACCAAAAAGTTGGTTATCAACTTTTTTTTTTTAACTCAGAAGTGCTTGGAAGACAATCCTGGCAATCTATTCCCCCCAACAAATGTGCCACTTAAAAAAAAATATATCCTATGATCACAGTTCTGCCCTGACACACATGTGTTTTCCAGGAGTCTGAATCACCTTGATGCTGACTGGGTTTTTCTGTTGTTTTCTGGGTGAAGACACACACACACACACAAAAATACACCAATTTGAAATTTCTAAGTATACAAATCGGTGACACTGGTTAGTTATATTCATTAAGTGGTGTAACCATTCTAGCTGTCCTTTCCCAAATTATTCTACCACCATCAGCTTAAGCTCCTCTTTTAGAAGCTTGTAAGTTGAAGTTGTCCGTTTGATCACTATAGATCTTCAGAAGAGAACAAGGTTCAGTACACACATTCTTGACTAATTAAGTTAGGCTATCTTTGATCTCAGAGCTTTGGTGGCCAAGTGGGTAAAAGAGTTGTGCTGCCAACTCAAAGGCATATGGTTCAAATCTACCTCACAAAGATGTGCAAACTTCTATGCAGTTCAGGGCCTCTGAAAACATCCTAGAGGCTCTGCTATGAGTTGATTCCAAGGGCACAAGAAAACAACATCCTTTGATTTCAAGAGCTATGGTCACTAGTCCACAGTGTATTGCAATGCTAACAAAAAGGGGCCATATGTCCTCTGTAGTTCTGGGGTTGAGGTTGATTGTTTTGGTTTTTGGTTGGTTTTTTTTTTTTTTAAGTAAGTGTTTTCTGTGGTCAAAACCGATCCATAGCTGACTCTCCAGGTTTTCAGAGGTGGTAGATTCTATCACACTGGAGAAGATTGTCCATCCTTCTCCCATGGAGCAGTGCAGCATTTATTTTCTCCAACATGAATTCATGCTTGAAGCAAGAGAAAAGGTCAGCAGTTCCTGGATACCAGCATTTTTAGAAGATGCACCTCTCTTGTGGTGGAAAGGGGCTCGGAGAAAGAGAAGACCCTAAAAAAAAAGATGAATTGACACGGTGACTGTAACAATGCGCTTGAGCGTATCAGAGATGCTGAGGGTGGTGCAGGATAGGGCAAGGCTCAGATCCGTTCTTAGGGTCGCTATGGATCAAGGTTTACTCACAACACCTAACAATCACCACCACCCCTCTATGTGCCCATTTCACAGATGTAAACTAGCCCACTGATGCTGGTTCCTGCTGCTCCATCTTCCCCATCACAGCTGCCAAGGCAGGTCAGCCATGGTGAAGGTTGTCAGGACAAAGCTTTCCTGCCATATGAACAAGTCTGCAGGTTCCTGGCTCGAAGGGAAGATAGGCATGAGGAGTCTTGGCTGAGTACTCAAAGGTTGTTTATAACCACCAAGACCAAAACAAAACAAACTTCAGTTCTGACTTACAGCAACTTTACAGAACAGAGTAGAAATAACCCCATAGCGTTTCAAGGCTATCTATCTATCTATCTATCTATCTATCTATCTATCTATCTATCTATCTATCTTCAAAGGAAGAGGCTGTCATCCTTCTCTTGCAGATCAGCTGGTTGGTTCCAATGACTGACATTTTCTGTTAGCGACTGAGCACTTTGGCCACTGCACCATCAGACCTCTTCATTTATAACGGTCATCTCAGTGCTGTGGCATCCACTTGACTCAGCTGACCCTCCTGCAGGTTTTCAGAGGCTGCTAATTGCACGGGGTAAGATGGAGGGGTGTGATTGCCCATCTTACACCCTCAGAGCAACTGATGGATTTGAACCACCTGCCTTTGGGTTAGCAGTGCAACTCCTTATCCACTTGGCCGTTAGGGCTCCTATCTTGGAGGATATCAAGGTCAATTGGTATAACTCAGCCTAGTCTACAATGATGATGTTGTTGTTGAGTACCATGAAGCCAGAACTGACCCTCCAATGGGTTTTCAGAGGGGGTAAAACACACAAGAGGAGATTGCCTCTCTTTTTTTTTTCTCCCCAGGAGGGGGCATCTGGTGGGTTTGAACCACATACCTTTGTGTGGGCAGCACAGTTCCTTACCGCTAAGCCGTCATAGCTCAGATTACAATAGTGCTGTCTTTACAGGAGAAGTTAGAAGTGAAGGGGTTTAGTAATTAGCAGATTTGGGCCAAGCTCTTTGCAAGATGAAAACCAAGCGAGCTAAAGATTTGAGAACAGCTTTCTATGGTTTTTCCTAGAGTCAGCTATTCTTCCCCACAGATTTTTTCCCATCATATGCTATCGCCTCGCCTACCTCCTCCATGTAAAATTGAGGTTTGGCTTCAGGGAACAAACACGCATGCTGCAAACTCTCCATGCCTAACATCAAGCCATTGGCATTTCTGGTATGCTCTTCGAGGCAACAGTGGTATGCTTACATCGGGAAAAAGAGCAAATTCCCCAAGAAACCTCTTTCTAGGGAAGCAAAACGGAGTTAGGCGGGTGCTACGAAACGACATATGAGTGGGGGATCCTGGCAAGAAAAGGAGACCATTAGAAGCAGGAGTGGGACCGGTAAGCACCAAAGGGGTCTGGGGGAAAGGAGGGTGCTGAAGGCGCACAGAGGGTGACGCTGACCCAGGGAGGGGTTCTGAAAAGCCTGATCTGAAGCTCCAAGGGTAAGCAGGAGTTGGCCAGTGGGGCAGAGGAAGTGGGGTGGCGGGGGGCTCCTGGCCAAAATCATGGAGTATGTATGGGAGAACGTGTAAACCAGCCACTTGGCACGAGGATGAGAGAAAAACAAGGCTGGAGAAGTTGATGGGAGTCTAGATCAGGAAGAGTTTCCTAACCAGAACCAATTGCTGTTGATTCCAACTCAGGGCAACTCCATGTAGGTCAGAAACTGTGCTCTATAGGGATTTCAAGGAATGCGACCTTTAGGAAGTAGGTTGCCAGGTCTTTCTTCCAAGCTGCCTCTGGGTTGACCTGAACTCTGATCTTTCAGTAGCGAGCCACCCATATGCTTGCTTCAGCAGCATTCTAAAATTGTACCACCCAGGGCCACCCTCTAGTCATGCTAAAAGACAGACATAGGTTTAAACCTGAAAGTTGTTAGGAGCTACAGAAAGTTTCTAATGCATAGGAATCTGTTGTTGTACACCGTCCAGTCTGAACTGACTCATAGTTGACCCTTCAACAAATTTTCAGAAGTAGTAAATTCCACAGGAGGAGATTGCCCATCTTCCTTTCTTTTATTAATTGTGATTTTAGTGAGAATTTACAGAAAGGTTGGGTTCTCATTCATTCATTGTTGTTCATTTTATTCCCTTTCCCCTCCCCCAGTGAAGCACCTCTTGTTCCAGATTGCTGTCTTCCGCCGAGCAGCTGGTGGATTTGAACGGCATACCTTTGGGTTGGCAGAATGCAGCTCCTTACCACCAAGGCCACCAGAGCTCCCTAGAGGAGGATGCCATAATGAACTTTTAGAAAATGTACCCTGCAAGGGAGATCTGGTGGCCTAGTGACAAGAAGCTGCACTGCAATCCCAGAGGTACACGGTTCAAACCCACCAGATACTCTGCTGGAGAGTATCTGACTGTACCAGTCAGATCCGATTTGATGATACTCACACACAAAATAATTTTTTTTTTAAAAAAAGAAAATTCACCCTGGCAGTCAGAGGGAGGATAAATGTGCCAGGAGAGAAACTG